GCCCGATCTTCTCCATGGCACGGGACTCCTTCCAAGAATTCTTTATCGGCCAAATATGTACTTCACTTGGTCTTACCGCCACAGGGTTTCGCATTCAAAAGCCCCCGAAGGTTACAGAGATAATTAATTAAATTAATTACCACCAGCTATAATTGAACCATCGACCTCGTCTGTAGAAGGTTAGGCGTCTAGACCACTAGGCTACAGGACCCTAACCCTGTTCGATTTCTTATACCAATCGTTTATAACAATTTACCTTACAATTAAATTTTACAAGACTTTTATTAGATAATAAGGTGTAAATGTATAACTTCGACTTATTATATTATTATAAGTTTTTTATAGAATAGCTATTTACAAAGTACTATTATAAATCGAATAACAAAGAAAATGTATTTTAAAATATACAAGTTTGTAATTATTGACTACACAATTATATTTTTTGATTTTGATATTTAACTTTATTATTTAAAAATATTTAAAAAGAAAGTAAAATTTGTTGGATTATTTGTAAAATAAATACAATAAAGCGAAAGCTATTTCTCATTATTGTAACCTAAATAAAATAACATCTTGCACTAACAACCTTATTGCACTCTTGAACAACCTAGTTAAAGACACACATAATTATCCAAATTAAAATTAAAAATTTTTAAAAAAACTCACCCATATCCAAATATAATAGAATTTTTCTAAACTAAAATTTTCTTATACTCCAATAGGTCGACTAAAACCACAAAAAAAGTATCTTAAAAATAGCAGAACTTCATGAAATTGTGAACAACAAAAAGCGTTACTTGATGATCTAATTTTAATATTTGCTCAATTAAATGATAGTGATTTCAATTATATAATAAAAAAAATTTTTGAATCTCGGGAAATGAAAACCCGTGATCAAAGAAAACATATTGATCTGCTTATACATATTTGTAATTTACCTGATCAACAAATATTCGACACGTCTACTTTTTTTCAAACAATGGTCTATACCTGGGGAAATTGGCAAGGAAAGCTAATTTCTGCCTATTTGCAAAAAAAGGTTTAAGATTTTATTAGTGATAGTCTTTATAAATTAGATAATGGTATTAGCACACTAAAATTACAAAACAAAACTTTAAAACAAAAGAATAATCACTTAAGAAAATATAAAAATATTATGAGTAATCAAATTCGCATACTTTCTATACGATTAACAAAAGCAAAACAAACAAAACAAAAGCAAATATCAAAAATTCGAGCTGCTATTCATAAAGCAAAACAAATTCAACCTGCCCAATTTCAACATGCAGCCGATAAATTGTTTAAAACTAATAATAAAGAATATAGTGCAGAGTTTGTAAAATTAGCTATAAATATTAGTAACATTGGACAAACTTCTATACATGCACCAATAGAATACACTAAAGCCTTCTACTAATTCTTAACTACAGCAATAGGTAGCACCAAGCACTTTAGCATGATAGAACAATGAAATGGTGGCTTTGTCCTTTGATCAAAATCATCCTATAGATGGTTGCTCTAGATTTTTTGGCTATAGGGTTATGGTTGATGAAAGTACTAGAAAAAAAAAAAGGTACTAATTATCTGTTTTTTGTATTGGAATAATATTAAAAAAAAATCTGCGATTACTATAGTAAAACTAACAGACCTAACACATTGCAATGCTAAAACAGTTTTGACTACAGTATTTGAAACATGTTAGCAAAAAAGTATAAACCTTCAGAAATGTCATTTTTGGCTAACCGATAACACAGCCTATATGTCTTCAGAATTAAATGAAGCCGTTGCCAAATTCAACTCATTATCAAGATCGAATTCTTTTCAGGTTCCTTGTGGATTGCATATGACTTATATTGCTTTATATACCATTAGAGAATTATTATTAAAGAAGCATCCATATAACTTACTTAATACCTTCACAATGGATATGATATTTCAGATAAGGACAGTCTATTAAACCTAAAATCTAAAATATTTCAAAAGCTCTATAAAATAATATTTAATTTTAAAATGAATAAATATCAACAACCTATACATCAACGATGGTTATATGAACTTAAAACTGCTAAACAATATCTCAATAGATGCGAAGTTCATATTTCCTTTGCAAGATTTTTTATTAAGTAACTTAAAAATACCAAAAATATTCCAAAATCATATTTATATAAGTAGCAAATATTCCTTATTTGATTAACAGATAAATGGCTTAACCTCCAAATATATTGTTTAGTTAAGTTTGGTCAAAATTTTTATGAGCCTGTTTACAATTTTTTAATTGACCATGACCCAATTCCACATATTCATCAACAAAACAATGTATATGCACTTCTACTATCAGGAAATCATGTACATGAAATGCTGGATCAAGTAATTTTATAGATTCAGAAGCTTCAAAATTATCTAAAAGACTTAAATAAATTATTTGAAGATAAATTAACTGATGCTAAATGTGAGTTGAGTATAATGGATTTGGAAAATTTTCATGAATTACTACATACCAGAATAGAAAATGCATTAAATAGTTTTAATAAATGGATAGAAACTTGGATTCACTTGCCTTTATGTGTTTGTCGTTTAGGTAGTGAAAGTGGACCTGAATTTGTTCATGCTTTCTTGAAAGTATTTTTTAATAAAAACTCCTCAAAAATACCTATACCAAAAGAGATTTCTTATATTAATCTCTTAAAAGAAGATTTGTCTAAAGGACATCAAGCTACTTTCGGATTATTAGAAACGTTATCACAGCATAACTTTTTTGAGGAATTTGAAACGTTTGCAGATTCTAATATGGCTGAACCAGCTAAATTTTCTCTCGTTTATGAATTTATTAAATTTCATATATGGTGTATTACAGTCTATCAGCAACAACTTGAGAGACTATTTAATCAATACGATATGAAGATTCATTCAAATATGAATATTCAGCTGCAAGAATCACATATTCAGCTCTCTGGTTTGGATGATAGTGTTCAAGAAATTTCATAAGATATATTATAAAATACTCAACAAAATGCTAGAAATATAAGAGTTAATATATAGTTAGAAAATAGTGAGGTTCTTAACGAAGAAAAAGTATACAAAATTCTTAACAGCTTCTTTAATTAGAGATGTAAAAATTAATTCATATATAACAATCTAAATTTTAATAGTAGATATATATTAATTTTTTTAAATCAATATTACTTTAATAGCTTTTGTAGAAAAACTCTTTCTGTCTATCACTCGTATACAAATTTTTCCTAGTTTAAATATTTTAAAATACATTATAACTTTATTTTCTACTAAGTTAACTTTAGTTTTGCTACTAAATAAACTTATTCGTAATAAAAATATATATATAATATTTGAATATTAAACTAAAAACTTTTAAAATCATCGAGAAACGGCTATTTGGCCTTTTTTCTTACATTTTATTTAATAACTCTAAAATGGCCATCTAAATATACTCTTTGAACTTAGAAAAACTTAAAGAGCTCACTATTCCCGTCATAACAAGCTAAATTTCAAGCTTGTACATCAGCAAAAATATATATGCGTAAACTTTCGTAAGTTTTTACGGTGCGTAAGAAAATCGTAAACTTATGTAAAATTTAGCGTAAAACCACGTAAATCTTACGGTACATAAGAAAATTGTAAATTTACGTAAAACTTTAACGTAAATTTACAAGTTTCTTACGCACTATAAGATTTACGTAAATTTACGTAAATCTCACGCACTGTAAAAACTTACGAAAATTTACGGAAGTATATAAAAATTTATAAATCCTAAAATTTAAATCTCAAGAAAA